TTTCTCACCCCTGCCCTGCCTTGCCCTGCCTTTCTCCCTCTCTCACTCACCCCATCCGTATCTGCCGCTCGTTTCTCACCCCTGCCCTTCCTTGCCCTGCCTTTCTCCCTCTCTCACTCACCCCATCCGTATCTGCCGCTCGTTTCTCACCCCTGCCCTTCCTTGCCCTGCCTTTCTCCCTCTCTCACTCACCCTATCCGTATCTGTCGCTCGTTTTTCACCTTTCTCACCCCTGCGCTGCCTTTCTCTCCTGTCTCACAGGCTCCCTGCTGCTCGAAAGGAGGCTGCTCCCTCCTCTCGCTGCCTCTTTTACCACTGCTTCTCTCTCTCTGCCTCTCACTCTCACAGGCTCTCTTTTGAGTAGACTCAAAAGTCTGCTCCCTCCACTCTCTGCCTCTTTGACCACTGCTTCTCCCTCTCTGCCTCTCATTCTCACAGGCTCTCTCTTATGTTAGCCTCCCTGATCTGCCTCCCCTTCATCTCTAACCCATTTCCCCTCTCGCACCTCTCTCCCCTGCCCTATCCTCTCTCCCCTGTCTCACAGCCTCGCTGCTCGCCTGGCGGCTGCTCCCTCCTCTCACTGCCTCTTCTTTGGATTCTCTGACGCCGGGTAACGTTCGTTCACTCTACCATTAATGGCACGCATCGTTCACTCTACCCTGAATGGCACGCATCGTTCACTCTACCATTAATGGCACGCATCGTTCACTCTACCATGAATGGCACGCATCGTTCACTCTACCATGAATGGCACGCATCGTTCACTCTACCATTGATGGCACGCATCGTTCACTCTACCATTAATGGCACGCATCGTTCACTCTACCATTAATGGCACGCATCGTTCACTCTACCATCAATGGCACGCATCGTTCACTCTACCATTAATGGCACGCATCATTCACTCTACCATGAATGGCACGCATCGTTCACTCTACCATGAATGGCACGCATCGGGAATTTATTGTTGAGTCGAATGTTAAAAGTTTGCCCTCTCTCCAACTCTTTGTTGGCTGCTCTGACCGTTACACACGGTAACCCTTTTTGAGACGAATTAAAAAAATGCCTGGTGCTCCATTTCACCCTTTCTGAGTGCTCCATTTCACCCTTTCTGAGTGCTCCATTTCACCCTTTCTGAGTGCTCAATTCCAGCTTTTGCACCTCTTCAATACCGAACACTTTGTCGCCCATGTCAAGTGTTCAACCTCTTCTAAAACTCCTCCGAATGCAACTATTTTTTCACACTGTTTTTCTTCTTCCGCTTTCACACTATAGCCATGAGGAGGCATAGCACTCCCTCATGGCTATAGCAAAGCCTTGTGCCTCGTCATCTTGACTTTTGAGTCGACTCAAAAGTCACCTTATAGCAAAGCCTTGTGCCTCGTCATCTTCAATCTTGCGCATCATGGCATGGCATGTTTCTATGCTTTCTTTTCACCCTACCTCAGCTTCCTGTACAGCCCTTCGTGTGCTTCTACAGCATCGCAGGCCAAATTTATCAAGTTACCTGCTTGGCCCTCTTTTCATCTCCACTCTTGCCACCCTCTCCCCACCCTTGCTTGCTTGCAGTCCACATAGATCCCTGGAGCTGCTGTGGTGCCATTGCAGCACCACCGACTGTCTCTCTCCTATGCTGTCATCTACTGACTGTTACTTTCTCCCACTCACATCGCCCTTGCTTGCCTGCACCCCACACAGTGCCCTAGAGCTGTGGTGCCATTGCAGCACCACTGACTGCTACTTGGCCATTTAATTTGAGTGACCCTACAAAGCGCTTAGCCTTTTCTGCTCCCTCACTCTCCTCACCCTGGCCCGCTTGCAGGCCAGACAGTGCCCTAGAGCTGTGGCGCCACTGCAGCACCACCGACTGCTACTTAGCCGATAAGGTTGCCCTATCCGCTCGTCTCCTCTTCCCTCCCCTCTCTCTGTCTGTCTTCGTTCGCCTTTGCTCTCCTCGCCCTTCTCCCTAGTGTTCTGGTGAACCTTTCTCCCCTCCCATCTCTCTCTGTCTCTAGTTTGCTGCATTCCCTTCATGCTGTGTAGCGCTCTCGATGAGCCCAGATTTGTGACTGCAATCAAAGTTGATTGTACTTTTTCTTGTTTTATTTGGCGGTAAAGTGGTTTGGGTCTATCAGCACCTTGCCGTGTTATTCATCCATTAGGAATACACTCGTCGCATTGTGTTCGTCGTGCTTAACTTTGTGCTTTTCGTTTGCTCTTCTCATCTATGGTGTGTGTTCCCCTTCCCCACTTTGTCATCATCCCTTATGTCTCACCATCTATTGCAGGCTAGTAATGCTGCTATAGGAACTTCTGGACACTTAGCATCGGAGCTTAGACTCATTAGTAAGCAAATCCTGAAGCCCACATCGTTCTCCCCTTGGCAGTAACACTCGATTTTGTTCATTTTCTCCACCGGTACAATATCTGAAGCATGTTACAAAGTGTTCGCGCGAAATGAATAATCGGTTGTTGCCTCTGAAGGTCAGCTGGTCAGTTGCAGACCCAGAGCTGGAAAATAGAAATGTCCGTACTAATTTGAAGAAGAGAATACCGAGTGTGGGAATGCCAGTATGAGAAATACAGCAAGTTGATGTTTTAATGGAGGGAATAGGAAGGAATAAGGTTAGGCGCATCCTGGTTCTGATGTCCTGTACGCCGATGGCTCTAACTTCGATAAGTGGTCGCTCTTGTTGTGCATACGAAGCCACCTTTTCTCGGAGGTACATTCCACCGACACGAGCCCATCCCGAGTGGATTTGGTCGCATCGATTCTCAACTTTGCCACCTAGGGGGCTTTCCACCTCTACTAGCTTCACGTCGCGCTGCCGAGCCAAGGCCTTACCGAGCGTGACTTTGCCGTCAAGCCACGAGGCTCGGTCAAACCATCAAACGAGCGCTGCTTCTGAAAGCCTGGCGGCGTCGCGTGGCAGTCATCTGACTGCAGTCACATTGACGGCTTCCAGTCAGCAGCATGCCGAACGCGCATTGAAGTGCACATCGGCCCTCGAGGTGGGGACACAGTGAAAACAGTGACGGCCAAAACATTTGGTGAGCGGCCTAAACATTTCTCTCGCAACCGAACGTCCTCCTTGCCAGGATTCCCTAGGAAAATGAATCTGACGTGAGGGAGGCGGGTGCGAGGAAGGTAGTGAACTCCGTAGCAAAATGGGCAGCCGAGTAATTATGATTGGCTGAAAAAAGTTTCGTTTAAGTGTGGACACTGCCCGTCTCTGTTGGACCGTGCTGAGCACGAACCACGATCTTCTGTGTGGTCGGGTGGTTTGGTTTTGTTGCTCTTGGCTCGGTACCAGGCCTCCCTTTCGTTTTGAGTCACTCGTCCATTTCAAGGTACACCCAATCATCCATTTGTGGCGGATCGTAATTTCAAGAGCCTTGAATTGCATGGTTGGGCTAAACACGAATCCTTTCACTGGTGACGACAACAAAACTGTTGCAGGCAAAACTTCATTATGACATTATTCAAGTGACGTCTCTGCACCGTGAATCTTGTTACTTAGCCCAATTTCAGTTTCCGATTTCATCTAGAAGTTGGGCGCTGGCCGCCACTGGTTGCGAACCTGGCAGAACCGATCTTCCAGATGTGGACATTTTGGCCGGTGGGTTTGTCAGACCCTCTTCCACACCCAAATTACAAACATCCAGCCCCCATCAGCCGCGTTAATTTTCTCCCACCCCGACAGAGGCCTGGTCAAATAAGGCAGTATCTGGATGTGTCAGGTCTGCCGGAACAAGGGAAAACACCCTGCATTATGTGATGTGCTGTGTGCATCGGTTTCGTTTGGTGCGCTGAGCTCAACAAGACCCATGTTCTCGCCCCAAAAAATCATTTGATCGGCGGGTGAACTTCCGCCGTCACCAGCAAGAGACACGAAGCGGCTCCTCTGCCCAGCATCACCATGCTGTCTGGCGAGTTGGCCGTTCTGCACTCCCTCGTCTCGAACACTTCCCAGCGTCCTTTCACAGTGAGGCTGTTCCGGGACTTCTGGTCAAACCCAATGACACGGCCAAGCTCAAGTCACCAGACCTCTGCCCCAACTTACCCCTTACCACATCCAAACCAGATATGCTTTCCCCAAGCTATCCGTACGTGGTTCACCCCAGAGATTTTTCTCCACCAAACCAGACTCACCCAGGCTCGGCCTTACCGCACCGCACATCCAAACTTTTGGTTATCCTTCCCATCTGCTCTCCCCTCCGCTCTGCTTTGCTCAGCTGTGGTCTGGTGTGCTCCCTCCCTATCACACGCAACTAATCCTACTCGACTCTTTCCCGCCCATGCTTGCTTGCACGCACACGGACATCAACCCTTCCTCCAGGAATCTCGACATCACGATGGCTTCAGATACACGTGTATATAGTCTCTTCTGCAGCTCGCAGCTTCGCCAGCTTCGATGTCAAACGTGCTCGAAATCTGAAATCGTGTCGAATTTATTTGTCGATGGTGTTTCGGCTGAGCTTGTCTGCTCTTCTCACGCCTGCATCCGTAGATGGCCATGCCTTTCTGGATTCGAAGTTTTTACTGTTAAACGACTGTTGGGAAAGCGAATATATTATATTCCAGCTATAGCAATTTCGAGTGTTCACTGCCGTCTATTTAGTCGCGAATTCTTTTCGAAGAAGCACGTCTTGAACAATTCGCTCTTTCTTTAGAATACTTTCTCCCTTTTCTTGAACAATTCGCTCCAGAAGCTTACGAAGACCTTTGTTCTTCCAGCTCTTATGACTACCCACTTCAAGAGCTTAGCTTCTCATTTCAGTTATCCTGTCGTGGAAAATCGTCGCGGAAAATCCAAAGACTGATTAACCGTTCCGGCTTGCGTTTTCTTGTTTTTTCGAGGCTGATGAACACTGCCAGTAATACTTGATCGTGTACGTACGGCCCTCGATGGCAGAGAAGGACGATAGTGGTCCCCACGAGTAAAACACGACTGACTAAACACGAGCTGAATACTAAACACCTTAACGAATAAAAAGACATGGCGAGAAAAGGCGGGAACCTAGTCGGTATTCTCGATGTGCATATTCTGCAAGCGGAAAGATTACCGAATCGGTCCACGCTCGGGGCTCAAGATGTGTACGCCAAGGTGCTGTGCGGTGATCGCGACCCGCTCGGCCGAGTCGCGCTCACTACGCGGGCGATCAAAGGAGGGGGCACGGACCCAGTCTTCGATCAACGGCTGCAGGTAAACCCAGTTTGATCAACGGCTACAGCCGTACACTCAGCTTTAACTCTGCGACTACGGGTAGTTCAAGAGAGGCTTTGAATAGAATAAACGGTACATGATTTTTTCTAGAACTCAACTTACTCATGCTCACAAACACCGCAGGGAGTCAGGACGGTTTTCTTTCAACCCTATCTCTCCTTCATTCCTCCCACCCCCTCCTCCGTCTCCGTTTCCCGTCCTCCCCAACCCCCACAACCTTTTCCTCCCTTGTTTTTCAAGTTTTCTTTGTTATACGATTATTCGTCAACTTGCACTCTTTTTTTTTTGCCTTCCCGTACCTTCCTGCAGGTTGGGATTCCCGAGCGTGCCACCGAGGTTAAGTGCGAGGTTTGGTTCGCCAGTCACCACCGAGGCACCACAGAGGACCAGCTGCTCGCGTTTGTGTACATTCCTATAAGGTAATTAGTACACGAGTTTAGGGTTTGCTATGCTCTAATTCTCTCTCTTATCCCCTGGTGGTGCAATTCTTTTGTACCACCCAATCAGTTTCAACAGCTTTTCGTCTTTGAAGGATTCGTGTTTCCTTCCCAACTTCCCCCAGTTTCCCCCGCCCACATCCCCCCCAACCTCCCCTTACTCTTGTCCATTCCATGCCTGCTTTCCTCCCCCCCAATAGAGACGCTTTAGAGAAGCAAGGCGAGCAAGATTTTTCTCTCACCACTGTAGATAACGAGGGGCGCGCTATACCGAGTACAGCTCGAATCTCCATCTCTTTCGCCTACCATCCCCGCCCAGGCGTCTCCTTCCCATTCCCCTTCTTCCCCTCCTCCTCCGCCTCCTCTTCCTCCTCCTCCGCCCCCTCCTCCTCGTCGCGCGCTGCTTCCGCGAAACCCGCCAGTATTGCTGGCGGGATGCTTAGCAAAGCGATTGCAGCGGCGTTTTCCCGACGAGCATCGGAAAAGGCAGCGGGTCGGGCAAGTGGGGTAGACGTTGGGCCGGCTGCTTTGAGGGTAGAGGGGCAGCAGGTAGTTTTTGATGCGCCTCAACAATTGGCAGCGAGTGGGGGAACGGCGAGAGGCGTAGGGTCGGCAGTAGTAAGGGTAGAGGAACAACAACAGGCGCAGTCAGACCAGCAGCAGCAGCAGCAGCCGCAGCCGCAGCCTCCGCAGCAGCAACCACATGCACACGAGCAGCAGCAAGGGCAGCAGCAAGAGCAGCAGCAAGAGCAGCAGCAAGAGCAACCCTCTGTCCCATCCCAGCAACTGCTAGGCCCTCTTTCGTTCCTCATGGAAAAGCAAGGCGTCAGAGATCCTGCCAAGATGGATTTGATTCAGGCACTAAGGGACGTGGCAGAAGTGGATAGGCTGGTCGGTAGCAGCAGCAGCAGCAAGAGATTGAGGTCCCAATCTGGCCCCCTGAGAATGGGTGGTGCTGAGTCAGCAGCAGGCCTTGCTGCTGAGTCAGCGGGTCTTGCGGCTGAGTCAGCAGGCCTTGCTGCTGAATCAGCAGCCACTGCTGGGTCAGCAGGCTCGGACACGTCATCAGCGGTGGAAGCAGTTGCTGCGGGTGGTGCTGCTGCATCTGCTTGTGCAGGTTCGGGGCCCGAGCCTGCTGGCCCAGGGCAACGCAGGCTGAGATACCGAGCCAGGTCCGGGCCTCTGCATGGTTCGGCATCTGGCTCAGGCGGCCGTGGGGCAGGCAGGACGGGAAGTTCGGGAAGGCTGTTGAGCAGTAGCGGGGAACTCTATATGGAGGCAAAGGGAACGGAGGGCGATAGCAGGCAGGAGTCCTGGACAGGCGAATTAGGCAAACGGATTGGCGGGTTTGGGGAATGGACTGGCGAAGGGATGGGCGAAAGGATGGGTGAAAGGATGGGCGAAGGGATTGGAGTAACAGGAGGGTGGTTGGGAGGGTCTGGTCGGGAGGGCAGTGTGGAGCTCAGTACTCCGTCTCCTCCTTTTCCTCTCATACAGCCCGTGACTGTTGACACCGCTGCTGCTGCTGCTGCTGCTGCTGCTGAACCTCCTCCTCCGCCTGATTCTCCTGCTGCCACCAGTGCTGCTGCTGGCGCTGCTACCGGTGCAACTGCTGCTGCTGGCGCTGGGTCTGTCTTGGTTGGGGAGAGAGATGAGGACATGCCCGAGATGCTGGCTCAGTGGGAGCAACAGCAGCAGTATTCAGAGCAGCAGGAGCAGCACCAGCACCTCCAACAGCAGCAGGAGCAGCACCAGCACCTCCAACAGCAGCAGGAGCAGCAGCAGCAGCAGGCGGAGCAGCAGGAGCAGGCGGAGCAGCAGGAGCAGGCGGAGCAGCAGGAGCAGGCGGAGCAGCAGCAGCAGGCGGAGCAGCAAGAGCAGACGGAGCAGCATAGAAAGCAGCAAAGGCAAGCACTGGGCTCAGGAAAAGCGCCTGTGCTCCCACCTGCTCGCGTTCACTGGGGGATGAGGAGAGGCGGCAGCATTGGCAGCAGCAGCAGCAGCGGCAGTGGATCTGGGAGGGCGAGTGGAGGGCTTTTTTATGCTGGTGGATGGAGTAACTGGCGCATGCAGCCGCAGCCGCAGCAGCAGCAGCAGCAGCAGCAACAGCAGCAGGCGTGGGGGCATGGGAGCATGACAAGCAGTGCGAGTGCTTGTGGCGGCAGTCTGGGTACAGCAGAGGAGGTATCGTCAGCAACAGTGGAAGGTGTGGGAGGGGTGCTAGCAGGTGGCATGCAGAAGCATCTTGCTGAGATGACTCTTAGGGCAACAGAGGAGGCAGGGCTAGGAGAAACAACAACAATTACAGCATCTGAAAATATGGGACGGTTGGGGATGGAGGGACGGTTGGGGATGGAGGGACGGGGAGGGGGTGGTGAGGTGGAGTGGGGGATGGAAGAGGAAAAGCGGTTGCCCCAGGAAAATCAGTATCAGGTGACTTTTGAGTCGACTCAAACGTTGCCCCAGGAAAAACAGTATCAGTACCAGCAGCAGCAGTATCATCATCAGCAGCAGCAGCCATATCAGCAGCAACAACAACAATTACAGCAACAGCAGCAGCAGCAGCAGCAGCAGCAACGATACCTAGAGCATCAACAGTACTCTCTGCAGGGGCAACAGCAGCAGCATCACCAGCAGCAGCAGCACTACCAGCAGCAGCATTACACCCACCGGCATGGGGAATTTGCGGTATTGCCTGGCGAGGAGCATCATCAGCAGCAACAGGAGCAGCAGCCGCAGCACCATCAGCAGCAGCAGCCGCGGCATCATCAGCAGCAGCAGCCACAGCACATAGTGCTACCAGCGGGCAGCAGCTCTCGTGAGCAACAGTCTCACCCACCCCAGCTGCACCCACCCCAGCAGCAACCACCCCAGCAGCACCCATCCCAGCAGCACCCACCCCAGCAGCAACCACCCCAGCAGCACCCATCCCAGCAGCACCCACCCCAGCAGCAACCATCCCAGAACGAGCAGTATGTGATGCTACCAGCAGGTAGCAGCTTCGATGAGCTCATGCTAGAAACCAATGACCCTCTCGGTGATTCCCATATGCGTGCTACAGAGGGTTTTGGTGCGGTGAGAAGTGGTTCTGGGCGATTTGATGCGGTGAGCGGTCCTGTGGAGGGGACGCAGCAGCAGGTAGAGCAGCAGGAGGCGTTTCAGCAACAGTTAAGCATTCATCATCATCATCATCATCATCAGCAGCAGCAGCAGCAGCAGCAGCAGCAGCAGCAGCAGCAGCAGCAGCAGTTGTATCAAGAACAGCAGCAACAGCACCAACACCAGCTGCACCCACAACAACAGCAACAGCAACAGCAGCAGCTGCCAACTCTGTCACAGTACGAAGAACCGTTTCAACAGCAAGAGCAACAGCCGTTTCAGCAGCAACAACAGCTATTTGAGCAACTAGAGCAGCAGCCATTTCAGAAGCAACAGCAGCACCACCAACAATTGCAGCAGCCGCGGCAGCAACAGCAGGGCTATCAACTAAAACAGCCACCGCCAGAGCACTGGTATGAGTCAGGACCGGAAGCTTCCGAACAGTACTCACAGCAACAAGAGCAGCCATTTCAACAGCAGCAGCAGCAGCAGCAGCAGCAGCAGCAGCAGCAGCAGCAGCAGCAGCAGCAGCAGGAGTACCAGCACCAGCTTCACCACCAGCACGCACAGCAGCAGCCATTTCAACCACAGGAGAGAGCTTACCAACAGCACACACAGCAGCAGCAGCCCATGCAGCAGCAGCACACACAACAGCACACACAGCAGCAGCACATGCAGCAGCAGCACACACAACAGCACACACAGCGACAGCAGCAGCCATTGCAGCAACTGCAATCTCAGAGGACTATTTATCAACATCACAGGCCAGCAGCAGTGCCCAGACGACCACTGGGAGACGTGGTGTCGAATAAGGCTCCGGCTGTAGTGCTTACAAGAGGGACGGCTGTAGCAAGAGAAACAGCAGCAGCTGCTGTTTCTGCTGCTGTGGGGCCCACGCCAGCTGTCGTGATGGGATTGGACGAAGAGGCGTGGAAAAGGGCCGGGATGGTGGAAAGGAGGGAGGTGGAGAGGGAGAGGACGGGTGGAGTGGGAAGGATGAGGCAGGGTGATGAGAAGCAACAGATGTGGCATCAGCAGCAGATGCAAATGCAGCAGCAACCGCAGCAGCAGCCACTGGTTCAGCAATGGCAGTTACAGCAGCAGCAGCAACAGGAGCAGCTGCAGCAGCATACACCGATTCAGCAGGGTATGGCACCTTGGCAGCAGCAACAACAAGCAGCGCAGCAGCAAGCAGTTCAGCAACATCAGCAGCACTACCAGCAGCAGCAGCAGCAGCAGAAGCAGCAGCAGCAGCAGCAGTATCAGCAGCAGCAGCACGAAGTGGCACAGCCAAAACCACTTCGCCTGGTTCTTCCAAAGTTTCTAAGAAGCAGCAGCAGTAGGCGGGGGCAGGAACAGGGGCAGATTGGGACAGGCAGGGAAGCGGAAATGCAGCCCATGCAAGCGCCAATGCTGACACAACCAGTGTCGCAACAATCACTCGTGCAGCAAGCATCCATGCAACAACCATCGATGCAACAACAACCATCCATGCAACAACAACCATCTATGCAACAACAACCATCCATGCAACAACCAGCCATGCAACAACCATCAATGCAACAACCACCCATGCAACACATACCCATGCAACAACCATACATGCAACAACCATCCATGCAACAACAGCCATTCATGGAACAACCATCGTTGTCACAACCAGCAGTGGACCAATCACAGGCACATGTATTTCTTCAGCAGCAGCAGCAGCAGCATCACCAGCAGCAGCAGCTTCAGGAGCCACAGCAGCAGCAGCAGCAGCACGGTGATATGTACTCCCAGAGAGAGTATGGTGAGCCGAGTATGCACATGCATGAACATGCCATTCCTATGCATGGGCATGCCATGCCCATGGCCCCTCACGGTCATCAGCAGTACCATTCTATGCCTGATGATCAGTCTATGTTGCAACATGCAACCCCCATGCAGCAGCATCCTAGCGACCTGCACATTTCATCATCTTCACAGTTTTCAGTAGCACCAATGCAGCAGCAGCAATACCCTGCATTGCCTCTGCAATCATTACCAGCAGCACCAACAGGAGCAGCAGAAACAGCAGCATTAGTCCCAGGAGAAGCATCGACACAAGGATATGAGTTTGCGGCTGGTGTAACAGTGCAAGTGAAGGGCGACTGGAAGGTGTACGACAATCAGATGGCTAGGATGCATCCAGATGACATGCACGGCCACAGCTGATTTGTCGGCCCAGATGAACACTTCCAGTAAATATAGCCCTTAACGATACGCAGTTAGTGCCCTGTGCTGTTATGTTATTATTAGTGCAATGTGCTGTTATGTTATGACTAGTGCAGCGTGCTGTTATGTTGTGAGATGTTTCAGTTCGGTTTGGAGCTACTAGGTTGGTTGTTTCTTTCAAACATCATAGCATCGTTGTATATGATGTTGGTACAATATGAACCTTGGTTCCCTGTTGTTCGGATCAAACGCGTTACGTTCTCGAATGGACTGACGAAGCACCTCATCCAACCAAATGCTTCCACGTCAACAATTCATGAATGCCACAACACGCCAGCTTCATGGCTCTTCAGGAGTGCAACTTTGAAATTTCCGCGAAATGAAAGCATCGAACCAGCAATCCCAGTGCCACACAATCCAGTCTCGAAACCTGTGGATGTGGTCTGCAAGCCACGTGGCTCTGAGTACATGCACATGACCCTCACTAACCTTCATAAACTGCACATCCAGGCGTCAGTCACTCCAGCCCCGTCGAGATCCGACCGTTCGCTAGATTTTCCCGCACCGTCAGCAGGAAAGGCTTGGTTCCAGAATTCATCCTCGTCACCTAGCATCTCAAATTCTATGTCCATATCGAGGGTCTTCTAAAATTACTTTCTGGCTTCATACACACATTTTCCTAGACTCGAGCTGCTAGAACGAGGGTCCTAAGAAATCACACACAAGCGATTCTCGTTTCTCAGAGCTCTACGCGTCGCAGTCTTCTAGTTCCTACACCCTAGTCGCACGAATTGCGCGTGCACCGCATTCCTCGTGTCGCAATCTCTTTCCTTTCGGTTCCACAATGGCCACAACAATCTCGTCTCATTGTCTATCTGGCATCAAGTCCACACCCGTCACGAAGCAAACCCAGCTTCAACGTCAGCTGCAAACAGCCAGCAGAGTTTCGCTAGCTCCCGTGTCCATCTCAGCTCCGCGATTCGCGGCGGGATCTCAGGGACGATGGAGCGCAACCGGCGGCGCGACCACCCGAGCCTTGGCTGTCGACGCGCAGCTCGCAGGAGCGGCAGCGCCGGCGGCGGATCAGACGGAGAGGCCAGTGATGCTTGAAGTCAAAGGCCTGAAAGCCGTTATTGCTGAATCCGGGAAAGAGATTCTCCATGGCGTTGACCTCTGCATTCGCGAAGGCGAGGTGAGACCTCCCGGAAT